TTTGGCACCCTTCCGTTTACCATAAATAGTATTTAGACATGCAACTGAATCAATAATCCAATCTGAAAGATTAACAATTTACCAATCTGTTCTTGCTTTAATTCAATCAAAAGATCTCATTTGGACAAGTTCAAATAGCTTTTTGGGATTTACCTCTTTGTTGTGGAAAATCCTTTGGTTTCTAGCAATCCACATGGACCAAACAACAGTTTTCCATATACAATCCATGCCTTCTCTGATGTCTGATCCTTTAGTGTCTGTCCCAAAGAGTTGAAAAGTTTTCCAGCAATCCCTATGAAGGAGAAGTCACTACCAGAAGAGTTGAAAATTCTACAAAAGAGTTAAGGCTAGTTCTTGTTTCCTTGGCATTATCACTACCAAAGGAGATGTCACCTTATATAGGAAAGCCAGGATGCAAGGAATTAATCAAAAATGTGTGGAATTCCTATGAAGGAGAGGGGTGGAATGGCTTCAAGCTTAAGGAGAAATTGAAAAGAACAAAGAAACCATTAAAGGAGTGGAGTAGGAATTTAAACGAAGATGTGGATGGCAAATTAAAAGAAGCTAAAACAATGATAGCTGTAATAGATGAGAAAGGAGAATGTAATCAATTGACTACAGAAGACATGGATAAAAGGAGGAACAACTTTCTAGACCTATGGAAAAATTTAAGAATTAAAGAGAGGATGTGGCAACAAAAATCAAGAAAGATATGGTTCAAGGAAGGAGATGCGAATACAAAATTTTTTCATAGATGTGTTAAAGGAAGATGGAGAAGAAATGAAATTAATTGTATCTGGATCAATGGGGAACAATACATGGGTGTGAAGGAAATTAAAGAAGTGGCTAAGTACTTCAAAGGTTTATTTTCAGAAGAGGAATGGCAGAGACCAACACTTGATGGGATTAGGTTCAAACAAATAACACAAGCAGACAATGAGTTCCTTGTGGCTGGTTTTTTGAAAAGGAAATTAAAGAAGCAATTTGGGACTGCTGCTATACCAAATCCTCGGGCTCGGATGGATTCAATTTTGGATTCATGAAGATGATGTGGGAAGATATAAAGTCTGATGTGGTTGATTTTGTGCAGGAATTTTGGGAACATGGCAAACTTGTAAGAGGGTCAAACACCTCCTTCATTGTTTTAATACCAAAGATAGAAAATCCACAAAGAATTGAGGATTACAGACCCATTTCACTCATTGAGATCATGTACAAGATCATCGCAAAACTGCTAGCAAATCGCCTGCGAAATGTACTTCCTAAGGTCATTAGGGAACAACAAATGGCATTTATTGAGGGCAAACAATTAGCTAATGGAGTTGTGATTGCAAATGAAGTCATTGATGAGGCTAAAAGGAAGAGAAAGAAAAGTTTTCTTTTAAAGAAAAACCAGCCACTAAAGGATTTGCAGTGAGTACTACAGCTGCATTACTCAACACAAAATGTCATCTCCTAGGCTTTCTCCTCTGCAGCCGCAGCCACACCTTCATCAAGTTCAGTACCATCACCATTATCAATACCAATATCAACAATCTCTGATTTATACTACCAAAAAAGCAATCCTTGATTTATACAACAAAAGAGCCTAAAACATATATTTTATGGTGGAAATCGCATGGATCAAAGGGCCTGGGTTTCTAAAGCTACAAGAGAGACTATGATTAGTAGCAATTGAAGTAGCTAAGTACTATGTTGGGAGAATCATGATAGATTATGGCAGGAAAGGGAGATGATTGGTATACAATTTGTTTTACACACTTTCTGATACTCGTTTGGTTCTGCTATTAAAATATAATATAAGTATTACTCAATTTAGTTGGTTCAATATCTTGTATGTATGGCTACATTTTTAAGTTTATTTGCCTTTAATTTTATGCTAAAAATAATAATTTTTTAATAAATGTATGGTATAGTGTGTTTAACAAAAATATGAACCAACCAGTGTCAGATTGAAAATGAAATGCTTCAACGGGATTATTAGCCTTTCAATAGCTCTAGTTATTTAATTTTGAATAAGTTTCCAAATAAAGTGCACCATAGCACATCTTAGTTTTTTTTTTTTTTTTTTTGAACAGCAAATGGATAGTTCATTGATGAATTAGGTACAAGGGGTACTCAAACCCTTAATACAAATACAAAAAACAAGCCCTTCAATGTTAATCCTATCTTTTGGACCTTTCCTATTGTATTCTACTTTCCTCTACAATTAATTAAGAGACAAGAAGTAGGACCAATCAACCAATCCGAAAGACTGAAATAACACCTAGCTTTCCTTGCTTTGATCCATGCAAAGGATCTCAATTAAATAAGCTCAAAAAGTTTGCTTGGGTTTACCTTCGAATCATGAAAAACCTTTCCATTTCATGCCATCCATACAGTCCATGTAATTGTATTCCAGATATAGTCCCACCTTTCTGAGATGCGTGGTTTTGTAGTCTATGCCCCCAAAATGCTGAAATGTTGTCCAACAATCTCTGTGTAGTGTGAGAGTTATTCCCTACCAGTTTGTGCATGCTTGCCACAACCATCTAACTACTCTGCAATTTAAGAACAAATGGATAGTATCTTCATTCTTTTCCTCACACAAAACACACTTCTCTTCTGCCATGTCTTTGATAATTCCTCTTTTGATCAGGTTTAGCTTAGTTGGGATTCTGTCTAGCAGTGCTTTCCAATTAAACACAGCAACTTTATTTGGGACGATGGGATTCCAAACTCTTTTAAATATTTTAGCTTCCTCCGGTTCCCTTCTTTGCGTTGATAACATTTGATAGGCTATTCTTGTTGAGTATTGGCCACCCTTACTGTGGATCCATTCCCATTTGTTTGAGCGGCCTGGTGTGATCTTCACATCTCCGGTCATCCTTTTCAGTTCTCGAGCTGCTTCGTCTTCCCACTTGAACATGTTTCTTTTCCATGTCAAGTTCCATTTCCATGTGCCTTGATTAGCATTACCCATTTCATGACATTCTTTTTCCTTCCCTGTTGACAATGAATACAATCTGGGAAATTTGTTAGCTAGACACTCCTCCCCACACCACACTATAGCACATCTTAGTCTTACAAGAAACTTGTTGCATTTAAAAAAAGGAAAGAAAGAAAGAAAAGCTTGTATGTTGCAAACGCTATGAAAAGTTGCTAGTAGTGTTCATTATCTATTTTTCATTTAAAAAAGAGATCTTGAGGGTTATTAATTGGTTTAGTTTAGATAAGTTATTTAATTAGACAATGATTAGTATATCCTTTGGTTCAACATACTCTACTATATACTCATTAAGAAATTATTATTTTTAAATTTAAATTTAAGGCAAGAAAAATTTCAACTACATAATTTAATAGTTGAAAAAAAAACCGGTAAATGTTAACAAGTGTGTTGAATCAAAAAATGTATCAATCATTTTCCTATTTAATTTGTTTGCTTGAATATATTCTGGTGAGCTTAAAAAACTAGGAAATTTATTCGGTTAGATGGATTCTTGTCTATATGAAAATTCAATCTTGTTCTCATTAAATTATTTTACTCACTTTTAGCAAGGTTTTAAATTAACAACTATCAAAAACTTAAATAATTCAATAGTAATATTCATTAAATAAAAGTAAGAGTTTATAAATTTAGCTATTCTTTTAGGATCAATAATTTTATTTCGACCTTTTGATCTCAACTTTATGACCAAAAAATATGCTGCAGAAATTTGAAGTACTACCCATAACCACTGCAACCTCAAACCCTAAGGACCTATTTGGTTAGAAGGTCAACTTTATTAGTAAAGTTCTTAATAAGAAAATGATTAGGAAAATATTGTATAAAAAATAATAAGTACTATACAAAAAATTAATAAATTTTGTAATAAAATTTTATTAGGTTATTAATTTTTCTGTGTTTGGTAAAAAATTGGTGTAGAAAAAATTAATAGAAAAGTTGTTAGGTAAGTCCAACGAAAGGAAAGTTGAAGGGAAATTTTTTCCTTTCAATAAGTGTAGAAAGGAAAGTTTACGGGTTGAGATTTGTATCAGAAAAAATAAATCTTAAAATTATCACTTTTATCCTTATTTTGTTATAATATTAATGTATAAAAATATATAAATAATTTTATAAAAAATTGTTTAAAAATTTAGGAGGAAAGTGAGTAGTAAACCAAACACTTCCTAAAAGGAAGAAATGATGAAAGGAAGATGAGATCAGATATACAGTTCATAAAGGATTCCTTTTTATCATAAATGGAATCATAAAAACATAAAAAAAAAATGACTCAGTTCAATTTTAAATTAATTAAAATTTATTTATTTTTGGATACCAAAAATTAGCACTAAAAATAAATCAATGAAAAGAGGAGATCAGATATATAGCACTTCACCCCTTATTGTGAAGCAGATAGAATAGTCTTTTCTTTAGGTAGGGAATTAAATCTATTTTTAGTGTTGACCTTAAAATTTAAGAATTTATGATATATATTATTTATCAATATATTCAATACTAAACACTTACGATATGTTTGTTTTGTAGAAAATAACTTCTTGTGAGTGGAAAATATCTTTTCCATTTTTTTTGTTTGAAAAATTTTTATAAAATAATATTTTGTTTGGTTCATAATGAAAAAAAAATCTTCAAATTTTCAGAAGTCACGAGCGTCCTTGTGAAATGGTCGAGTCGCATACCAAGCACTCTGGACCTCGGGTTATTCCGAGCCACCTTGGACCCAATAGTCACATCCTAAACAGTCTTAGACCTTGGGTCACGCCTTGGGCTACCCGCTAAGGCGCTAAGTTGCCCCTAGCTAGAACTAGCTCTCAGGCAGAGCTGCCTTGGACTTGCATGGCCGGACCCACAACTTTAACTATAATTATCTTGTTGGGATAAAATGGAATCTTAAAATGTTTGCGTTGTTTATGAAACCCAGCTTTTTGAAGTGAGGAATCTGAATTTAGCACATATATGGTTCACTGTAAATAGCTTCACCTGACTATATATAGACGTGGCTTTGCCCCTCTAGCTAAAACAAGACACACATTTGATCTTTTCTTCACATAGAATCCCAAAGACTATCATGGCATATCAGAAAGATTACCTTCTCAAGGCTGCACAAGACTTCTCACTAATAGATCAATGCTTTCGCAGGCATCATCAGCACACAGAAGCAGGCCTCATTCCTCTCAAGGGGTGGACTACTCCTACTGGGTATCCTGAATATACTCATAATGTTCAGTGCTGGAATCCTGCACAAAGTAGAACAAATTATGTAAAGCAGGCAGATGTAAATCTGATGGAAACTCAAGGCCAGAATTGGAGAAATCATCCCTGGATATATACAGTAAAAGAGCCTGCAACCATAGATTGTTTTGGAAATCGCATGAATGAAAAGCCCCGGCTTTCTGAAGCTGCAGGAGTGACTCTGATGAACAGAAATGAAACAGCTAAGCTCCATGGTGGGATCGTTACAGATTATGGTAGGAAATGAAACGCTTCAGTGGGGTTATTAGCCTTTCAATCGCTCTAGTTACTTAATTGGGTATAAATTTCCAGATAAAGTGTACCATAGCACATCTTAATCTTACAATAAACTTGTTGCATCTAAAAAAAACAGAACTAGACAATTACTAGTTTGTTTGCTACAGTACTATTTACAGCTGAACTGAGAGTGTGTGTTGTGAAATTTACCTCGATGTAGGATTTTACTACACCGCACGGGGAGGCCCAGTATAAACGGGCTTACATGCAGTCCTGATCCATGTAAAATTAATAAATGAATTTTAATAGAAGAGTTGTATTTAATTTAAAATTGATTAATGAGAACTCCTGTGTAGAGCAGTTCCCCACAGAGAATTTTTCATAGATCTCGAGTTTGAGGCCAATCCATTCCCCCCTTCCCCAACAATGTAACCATGTTTAAAAAAAAAATTTTAATTAATTAATAATAAACAAAATAATTTTTTTTATATTTAACTTATATTTTTTCTTATCATATTCTCAATTTTAAATTTTCTCACTTAACTCCTTTATTTTTTTTGAACTCAGCTAAAATCATATAATTTCATCAAAACCGTATGACCTCTACATGAAAATTCTTATCCCATTGATAAGAACTAATGACAAACTAATAAAGCACAACTGAAGATAAAATTCAGAGTAGATCAAATTTAGTAAATATAACGAAAGGTGGTAAAATCACACAAACAACTTCTAAGGAGACTAATTTACAAATTCTTTTGGTCGAATGTTCCAAAAAGCACTGAATACCCTTCAATCTACTCTTTAAACAGATAAATCCACACTCCAAGATGCCGTAACTTAGAGATCGAAGCTAGCAACGATCAACCTGGAATTTCTTCTTACTTGCCTTGTTAGCCACCAGATCTGAACACAAAAAAAAAAAAACCAAAACAAAGAACATAAAATGAAAGAAAACAGAGACCATCCAAAGGGGCCACAAAAGAAGCCAGTAGACCACACAAGGTAGTCACCAGACAAAAGAGCATGATTAGCCGGCTCCAGCGTACTTGTGAAGCCAAAGGATTTCCAAGCACCAAAAAACACTCAGGAAGCCAGAGACTTCCGAGCACCAAAACTTGAGATCTGTAGAGAGTTCTAGTCAGAAGCACAACGTTCTAGAGTTCTCACTTAACTCCTTGATTGATCTATTTACGTGATGGTGTGATTTTTTTTTTCCTTCTACTTCAAACCAATCATTGTATGCCACGATCCTCTTATTTCTTTCTTTTATAGAAAAATCAACCATCTTGTGATTTGATTCTCTTTTGTGTGTGTGTGTGTTTTTTTTTTTTTTTGAACAGCTGATTCACTTTTCTGTGTAACAAACCATGCATCTATCTCTGTTATAATTTGCAGCTTGAATATCAGTTCTACAAGGTTGTGGTGCTTGAATAATTACAAATTTTCTTCATTTTCTATAGTGGTAAACGCCTCTCTTATTGCATTTAGTTTTATTTATTTATTTATTTATTCGTTGATCAAATTAAAAAAAATAAAAAAATATATTAATTTAGAAACTTAAGAAGTTAAGAATCCCTATTACTCAATTAGATTGATAGATTTCTATTTGTCAATTAAACTTCTTGAATTTAAATTGATCGAAAAATAGTCATTCATTCAACCAAAGATAACTTAAGGTTCTCCGATCACTTGTTCAGGGAATTTCAACTTCCATGAAAACTAGCTGATCAACTTAAAATACCTTACACTATTAATTTCAGAAGGTCAGAAAAAAAACCATATGAAAGGAAACCAAATATATAATTCAAAAACAGTGATTGATACACCCTATATTTCAAACTATTGAAATCACCTATTTTCAATGAAAACCATATTTTTCTAACATATATAACTATTTAATTGAAATATTATATTTTTAACATATACTTAATGGTTTTTTTTTTTTTTTGAAAGGCAAAAAAGATTATATTTTTGAGTATAAAAGATACTCAAACCCATTTACATCAAAAAAGCATACTCTGACTCAAACGTTGCCTTACCAATTGATGGCATATTGTATGGTCCCTTAAGAGATTTTACAACCGTTGGGATTTAGAATCCAATCCGAAAAAGTAAAACTTCCTCCTTTCCCTATAATTTTTATCCACAAAAAAGACCTCACTTGTATTTGATCAAACATTCGATCCACATTCGCATGGCCCCCTTTGAATACTACCTCATTCCTGGTATTCCAAGTTGTCCATACCAAAGAGTACCAAACAGCAGCCCAGCCCAGTCGGTAATTTGCTTTGGATACCATGTCTTCATGCTGCATAAAAGAATCCCTACATGTTCTAGCTAGTACAGTTCTTAGACCCCACCATTGAATGCATTTTATTTAAATTGCTGAAGCAATTATACAATGGAGGAAAAGGTGGTCACCATCCTCCACACATTTGTTGCATAACCCACATGTAGTTGCTTCTATTTCTGTGACTATTCCTCTTTTGAACAGATTGAGCTTTGATGGAATCCTATCATGCAATAATAACCATGCAAACCCACAAACTTTGTTAGGAATGTGACTGTTCCATAACCTTATAAATAATGATTCTTGTGATGAAGGTTGTTGATGGACAAGTTTGTTGTATCCTGATTTCGTTGTGTATAATCCCTTCCTCTCCGCCTTCCAGATCCAAGTGTCCTCCTTGTCTTTTGGGAATTCAGTCATACCGATCCATTGCTTTAAATCCTGTAATGATTCGGTCTCCCAAGAAAACAAGCTTCGCCTCCGTTCAAAGTTCCATGATCATGTTTCACCTTTCCAACTACCCATTTCCTATATAAAGCTTTCCTTTCCTGTAGATAGCATGTATAATCTTGGGAAAGCATTAGCAAGCACTCTTGCATTGCTCCAACTATCCTTCCAAAAGCTAACACTATTTCCTTTGCCAACCTTAAGCTCATAACCATCCAATAACCACCCTCTTCTGTTATCTTCCAAAACATCCAACCTACATATATCCCTCCACCATCCAGACCCACTACCTTTACCTTCCCTTACCCACCCACACCAATTATCTTTTCTAGATCCATATTTTTCTTTAATTAGCCTAAACCATAAGTTCTCCTTTCCCTCTGCTAGTCTACCCCACCATTTACATAAGAGCGCCAAGTTAAAAAGCCTAATGTCCTTCACTCCTAAACCTCCTTCTTGTTTGCTTCTACACACTAGTTTCCAATTTACCCAAGGTATTTACCTAGTCTCGCCCCACCCTCCCCATAAAAAATTACTTCTAATTCTATCAATAACTGTCACAATACCTTTCGGAGCGAGGTAGACTGATAGGAGAAAAACAGAGAGTGACGTGAGCACAGAGTTGAGAAGTGTGATCCTGCCATCGAACAACAGCCACCTATTTTTCCAACCTGACAATTTCTTCTTTATTGAGTCAATTAAAGGCTGCCACATTCTTAAACCCTTTTGGTTTCCACCTACAGGCACTCTTAAGTATTTGAAGGGAATTTCACCAACTTCACAATTTAAAGACCAAGCCATTTTCTGTAGCCATTCCATATCTGTATGAATACCAAGTAGTTGGCTTTTATGGTAATTGATTTTCAACCCAGATGTGAGCTCAAAAGCTCGCATTATACATTTTACAGCCCATATGTTTTCTTTTCGAGCTTCCCCAAAGATAATTCTATCATCCGCAAATTGTATATGGGAGAATCGGACTCCATTATTGCCCACTTTCACTCCAGTAAATAACTTTTGCTCCACTTCTAACTTGATAATTCCATTCAATCCCTTAGCCACAATTAGGAATAAGAATGAGGACAGGGGATCACCTTGTTTTAGCCCCCTCGAAACTCCAAATTGTCTAGTCGGACTCCCATTCACCAATACTGACAACAAACTAGTTTGAAGGCATTCCATGATCCATTTTCTCCATATCTCACTAAATCCCATTCTCATCATCATATAATTCAGAAAATTCCAGTTAACCTTGTCATAGGCCTTCTCAAAATCCACCTTGAAAAAGAACCTCTTCATCTTCTTTTTCTTGGCTTCATCAATAACTTCATTTGCTACTACCACTCCTTCGCATAATTGCCTGTCTTCTATGAAAGCCCTCTGGTTCTCCCCAATGATGTCTCCCATTACTGTGCGTAGTCTAGTGGCTAGTAATTTTGCAATGATTTTGTACAAAGCTCCAATGAGTGAAATTGGCCTATATTCTTCTATCTTCTGTGGATTTAACACCTTTGGGATTAAAGTTATAAAGGATACATTTAAGCCTTTCACTAACCTGCCTTTCTCATGAAACTCTCGTATGAAGTCGACCACCTCCTCCTTTATTTCTTGCCACATTCTTCTAAAAAAAGTGAACTTGAATCCATCAGGCCCAGCTATACTTAATGGTATTAAATTTTATGAAAATAGTAAATAGTTAAATATATTTAATTAAAATGAAATTTAGTATTTTTCATCTACATATAGAATAATTAATCAATAATAATTGATCAATCAATTGGTTTTTCACTATATTAACTATATTATAAATTACAAGTGTGTAAGAGTTTTTTATACTTACATGTATAAATTGATTATAAGTCTTTAAATATATGACAATTTGCGCATAATTTTTTGTCTAATATATTCTCTCTCTCTTTAGATAGGATGGATTCCTATTTTTTTTTGTTATTAACCCTTGATTGGTTTTACGATATTTTCAAGGACATTGATTAATACATCATTTAGTTTAATATACTGCATAACACATTTATTAAAAATTTATTATTTCTTAGTATAAAATTAAAAACAAACAAATTTAAAAATATAATTATACTTTATACATGTAAAATTCAATTAAATTGACTGTATTGATATTATATTTTGATAACTGAACTGGATAAGTATAAAAAAAATATTAAACTAGAGGCTTTACCAATTATTTTTTTATTTTCTATTCTAAATTAAAGGTTCTAAAATCACTTGTTTATGGAATCTTAACTTCCATTAAGGTCCCCTCCCCTACCCCATATATGACCAATCCATTTGAAATATTTTTTGCCTTAACCCTTCAAAACAGATATCATTTGGAAGGGAGAAAAAAAAAAAAAAACAAAAACAAAAACCTTCAAAGCAGGTCAAAGAGAACTACTGTAAACAGAATTATTCTTGTTTACTCTCCCACTCTCCATGGAAAAATTATCCCTTAACACTTTCAATTTCAAAAGGGCAATTGAATTCCTTAAAAAAAAAAAATCACTATTCCGTAAATTTATTAACATCAGGTCTACAAGCAGATGCACTGCAATATATGCTATTATTTTAAAGAAAAATTATTCACTCACAATCTTATTATTTAAGCTAAGTGTTCAACTTGATTCTTAATTTTTTAGCTTTATCCATTAGATAATGATCATAACAAAAGATAGTATTGGGAATTCACAGTTGTCTCTGCCAAATTGCAGAGCAAAAGTAGCAAGGAGTCTAGAAAAAAATTCCATTGTCAAGTGATTATTATCTACAATTTTATATTAAGAAAATGATATAATTATAATATCACATCATATTATAAACTTACAATTGTAACATGTTATTATATGATTGATTTTTTTCCTTTAAAGGTCCACCTATAATATTGTATGAATCCACTTAATTTAATCACACATTGTAATTGTAAATTTATAATCTTATGAGACATTATAACTATAGCATTTTTGTTTTATATTAATTACCATATGGAAATAAGAGTATATGCTAGCTGTTGTTATCTCTTCTACAAAATTTGTCTATGTTGTTATTTTTTCAATGACAAGCCAGAAAGATCAGGAGGCTAAGATGGAATTAGAAGGCTTTGCATCCAGAGATGAGTACCACAATCGGGGCGCTTGGTCCAAAATGTCATCCTTAGGCTTCCTTAATTCATTGTTACATCAAGTTCATTATCATCATCAATATCAGTACCAATATCAACAGTCTGTCATTTACACAGTAAAAGAGTCTGCAGTTGTATACTATGGTGGAAATCACAATGATTCAAAGGTCCTAACGGGTAACTGAAGCAAAAGATGCTGCTGTGATTAATAGCAATGAAGCAGGTAGGTACTATGGTGCGAGAAATGGAGTACGGTAGAAACTGAAATACTTATAAGCTGATCGAGTTATTAGGTCGTTGGTCGCCTTCCTTTGTTACTTTGAGATAAATTACACCTTGTGGTTATGTTGATATCTTCTGAGTGTTGTTTTGAGATCGTGTAATAAAAAAATACTCCCTTCCTCCCAAAATATCTGTCCTTTTTTTACTTTGGATTTGTCCCAAATATTTGTCTTCGGTCAACCGAATGTCTAATGTTGTGGATTTGATTGCTTAAAATGGAAGATTATGGAGAAAATGACTATTTTAAGGAGAAGAAAAAACAGAAGGGTATAAAGAAACATCACTATATTTAGGATCAAAGGCCTAAAACCAACATTTTCCGCAGAGTTAGTCTGCACACAGATGGTTAGTGGTTTCCAATTCATTTTCCCAGAGAAGGAAGATTAATAGAAGGAGGAGCGGAAAGACAGCCTTGCCCCCTATCACATTGTCAAGCCTCTGCTTGAGGCCTTATAATTTGTATTTAAAAACAACAAACAATTTCAGCTCAAGATTAACAAGGCTGAAAAGAATAACGGCAATGGCTTTCATAGGAATAGCTCGCATTAGCTTTGTTCTTCTCTTGTGCATAGCTTTGGTAGGCTGTGAGGCCAATGACAAAGTAAGTGTGGTCAAGGACCCATTTAACGCAGCAGATGCTCTTGCAAAAGCTAGAGGCATAGCTAGAGGGAAAGTTGATTCTAATGTGAAAGTTTTTAATGTGCTAGACTATGGGGCCAAAGCTGATGGAAAGACAAATGCTGCTATGGTAGCGAGGTTTCTCCTTTTGAAGCAGCATGTGTTTGTTGAATATGATGAATTGGAAGGCCTAACATCTCTATTTTTTGCTACAGAATTTCATCAGGACATTCAAGGCTGCTTGTAATTTCCATGGGAATGCAATGATGGTCATCCCTCAAGGAAACTTCTTAATTGGACCAGTCATATTTCAAGGGCCATGCTTCAATCCATCTCCTCTAATCATTCAAGTTGTAGGAATTGTCAAAGGGCATCCTGATATCTCTGAATACACCGGAGGAGCTGATGCCTCAGACTGGATTACCATACAAAGCGTTGATGGCCTGATTATTACAGGTTCAGGTACCTTTGATGGCCAAGGTCCCCAGGTGTGGAAGTACAACGACTGTGATAAGAATGATGATTGCATCCGTATGCCTGCTGTAAGATCTTATATCAATTATTTACATTGTTAAAATACAAAACTAAATCTGATAAATTGTACTAATGTCCTTTTATTCATATGATGCAGACTTTAAAGTTCAACAAAGTGTCAAATGCAGTTATACGAGGCATAAGATCCATTGATGCCAAAGGATTCCACATGTTCATCAGCAACAGCCAGAACTTCCGTATATTCAATGTTCATATAATTGCCCCTGCAGACAGCCCCAACACTGATGGCATTCATATGAGCAAATCCAGTGGTGTAAAAATCTCTAGAAGTACTATTGCCACGGGTGATGACTGTGTCTCTATGATCCAAGGAAGCAAAGACATTAGCATCAAGAAAGTAAGATGTGGGCCTGGACATGGTTTCAGGTACATTTCCCTACCCAAAAATTCACTCTATTTTTAATGTGTCACAAAAGTTCTTATTCTTGTTCTGGTATAATCCCTGTGACAGTATTGGAAGCCTCGGACACTATGAAGATGAGTTAGATGTGAGTGGGATCGTAGTGAAAAACAGCACAATGTCAGACACAGACAATGGAGTTAGGATCAAAACATACAAAGCTTCAACTCCAAGCAAAGCTTCAGGAATGATTTTCCAGGATATAATCATGTACGGGGTCAGGAACCCCATCATCATAAACCAGGAGTACGGAAGTCAAAGTAAAAAGGAGGTTTGTTTGTTTTTACCTTTCCACATAAGCTGCTATATATCAACGCTCTCTCCCTGACATAAACCTCACCTATATTTTCATGTGTCTTGCGCAGCCATCGAAAGTAGCCATCAGCGACGTGCATTTTATAAACATTAGGGGAACTACAACTTCAAAGGTTGCAGTGAATCTGTTGTGCAGTGAGTCAACTCCTTGCAAAGGGGTTCACTTGAGGAACATCAATCTGGAGTACACCGGCGAGCCAAATAGTGATGTGGCTTATGGCTCCAACTGTACTAATGTTGATGTGGACTATTTTGGCATCCAAAACCCCCCTCCCTGCAAGTAGTGCTTCAAAGCCAAGAAAAAAGACACTCCAATACTAACTTCTTGCCAAAGCATCATACAGAAAATGCACCATTGTATCAGTAGAAGCTGAGGAAATTTTCCGGGCTTAATTCATGGCTAGCTTTGAAAAAAGATCACAGAAACTGCTGGTGTATACACTAAAGTTTAAAGTGGAACTACTTGTTACAATGGGCTAAAGGTTTTTGCATTTTTTGTAGCATTTTTCTTTGTATATTTAAAATTTCAGTTACTTGGCCTACATGGTCTGAGAGAAGACAGGTGCAGGCCACTTACATATATATATTAAGAATCAATTCAATTTTTATTATGATCCCAAGCTATCTAGAATTATATTTATGTTTCGAAATTTCAATTCCATTTCTGGTTCTTGAGTTTTACCAAATTGTGCAAATCAGTACGAGGCAGAAGATGTGTCTGCCTCGATGATTAGTTAGATAGCTCCTTAGTCACGATGCATGAGGTTCCTGGCTGCAACCGTGCGGCACTTACCTTGCTTGCGGAAACACAACCCTGCCTTTCTATTAAGTCAGCCTTGCCCGGAAAATGCTTAGGGAAGCAAATCCAAAAGCACCAAAACTTTGGATTTAGTATGGAAGCGTTGGGTTGTATTTGTACCCGTAGATTTTTTTATTTTTTAACATTTCAAAAACATATAAAATATATTTGATATATGTAATATTTATTTTATCTAACATTTTATATATTTTTTAAATAATAAAAAAACATAAAAACTAAAAATAAGAGTACTGGAAAATTTGAACTTCTCAAATCATTAATCGATATTTAGTTGGTTCCGTTTTGAAAACCCCCATCTTTCCTTCTCATCAACTCTTATGACTGCCTAATGGGATATTTTTACCCAAACAGATGTGATGATTTTTCTATTTGATATGTATCAGTATTTACTTGTTTGATGTTAGGTAAATAAATTCTTTAATTTAGCATGCATTTATACATTTTGATATTATTTGATTAAAAATACTACACATAAAAAGGCTTTATTTGATAGAAAAAGATATAATTATAATACAATATGATAACATAAATTTATAATATAATATATCGTTATATAATTTTTTTTCACTCAAAAATCCACCCATTATATTGTGCGTTTACTCATCCATCAATATGTCATATTTATTCAATAAAATTTTATGAACATAAATTTATAATACTATAAAATTATAATCATATCATTGTCTTTATCTAAATGAGAACACTATACAAATAAAAATAGCTTTATTTTCTTCTTCTTTTTTTTTTTCTTTTTTTTTTGTCATTTCCTTCCCTTTTGCTGTGAACCAAATGTAACCTTATCATTTATGCGAAAGAAAATATAACCTTAATGATCAATTTATGAAAACTTTTTCACTTCATAAGAAAACACAAGGAATTGTGAAAAAATTTTCATTTGTCAAGAATGATAAAAAAAAAATTAAATAGTTTTAATAAATTAGCACATATTATAGATTTAAATAGTTTCTCAAACAATGGTAAACATATTAATTTTCACTTTTTTCATTCAAACAAACTTAGTTGTTAAATATAAAAAATATGACTTTATTTGTTGAATTTCTTTTATAAAACTTTTCATATCCCAAAAAAAATTCATATAATTCTTCGTATAGTTTTTCCTTCTTTTTTTTAAATAAAAAAGGAAAAACTTTTTAAAGACAATAATCATATAATTACAATTGTAATTTTCACATAGAATTACGAGATTATAAATAATTATATCATGAAATAAATAGATAAATACATATAATATAAATAAACACTAATTTATAGTACAATCATAATCATTTATTATAAATATAAAAATGCGACACTGTAACTTCTTTATGGTTTCCCATCTACACGTCAAAAATAGATCGTAGTAGTGAAGATCCAAAATGGTCAAATCCCCTCATTTAGTCCCTTAACTTTTATTTTTGAATCAAATTTACCCTTAAACTTCAAAAAATACTAAAAAAATCTTTAAACTTCAATTTTTGAAACCAATTTAGTCCTTCCATCGATGGAAGTGCCAGATTTCACGTTAAGTTGCCACAAAATCAATTTTGATTGAAAATCTTAATGACCTGTAAAATAAAACAATATCTTTTTCGCCACCGTGGCATTTTTCCATTTCCACATCAGTAATGAAAATTTATAGACATTTTCCACTTAATTTTCCTTCACTTTCCTATAAACCAAACAACAAAAATTCATTCCATCCAAACTAAATTCAAATCTCAAGGCTTTGAACCATCAAATCTTCTACAAAACCATCAAATTCAAGCTACAAAAAACACTAATATGGAAAAATACTCATTGCTTTGCACCACCAAATTCAAAACAAAACCTTCAAATTCAAGCTCCAAAAGGCACAGATATAAGTTTTTGTATGTTCTTCAAATGTTGGGTTCTCTCCTGTAAAACTAGAAAAAAATTCATAAAAAAAAAAAAGAGAACCCAGATCTAGGTTCTTATAAACCCAGATCTGGGTTCTTGAAAACACAAGAACCTAGATCTTTAGAAACCTAGAGCTTCTTTCTAGAAGTATCGTCGTCTTCCTAGCCGTTGATGCTCCGAGAAGAGGCTCTATCGATCTTGTGTTCCTCTCTACCGTCTCTTTTGCTTCTCTTTCCACTTACACTCGAAATCGTACTATTTGGAGACGAGACTCTGGCTTCCTCCTTGAAATTTGCCGTCAATGGCAATTTGTTCACATCGATTCCTCATAGAAAGGACTTCATCTCTAACCCGCGCCTAGGTTCGAGGAACCCAGGCCTGGGTTCCATCGAGCCCAGGCGTCCTGGGTTCCTCCAACCCAGCACGCCTGGTTCCTCAACCCGCACCTGGGTTCGAGGAACCTAGGTGCTGGTGCTGGGTTCCTTCGAACCCAATAGGGAGGGGAAAGAGAAAAGGAAAGAGAAGGAGAAAAAAAGAAAGAAAAAAAAAATTTTATTTATTAAATTATATTTTTTGTTCCAAGTCACAATATTTTTATAATTAAAAATGTCACATCACTTGTTTTATTTCCAAGTAATATTTAATATTAATAAAAATTGAATTTGTTAACGGGAAATTTTGCCATGTCAGCACTTAACTGACGGAAGGACAAAATTGGTTCTAAAAATTAAAGTTCAAGGATATTTTTAGTACTTTTTGAAGTTCGAGGGTAAATTTAGTCCAAAAATGAACGTTGAGGGACTGAATCGGGGATTTAACCATCCAAATTCCTAAGCATACCGTCCGAAATCCATCAGACACATTTCCCCTCTTTCCTCCAGAATTGCGAGTCTTACTGTGTCCCCAGAAAATTTTCCTGTGCCACCGTGCCGTCACCACCGTCGACCTCAATTTTCAAGGTACGTTCCTAATCGAATCAGATCTAATCATCTCGATCTAGATCCACAAATATCCACCAATTTTTTTCATATTATCCGCAATCAATAGAAAAACTAGAAGCATGAATAACTTTCAGTTCGATTTTGGGATGGGATCGAACCGACCCAAATCCCTCAACGATCAGAAGAACCAAACTACCTCTTCCTTTTCTTCTTATTCATATTCATCATCGGCTGCACAATCCAAGCCCTCGTGGCAACCAAACAAGCCCGCATCCGCATGGACCCACCAACCTGCCCCGGCGCAGATGGATCGTACTGGATTGAATGGACCTTCATCCATGGTGGGTGATATTTTTGGTAAGAGCTGGAACTCTGGAGGTGGGGGTGGGTCTACCATTGGGATTGTTAACAAGGACCCGAACCTGTTTGGGGATTTGGTTAATTCCGCCATGGGGCAGGGTCAAGGTAGTATGAATAGTAATGTTCCTTTGAAAAATGCAACACCCAAAATGAATTCATCGAGTAAGAGCCCATATTCAATGGGTAATGTGGCTGATTCATTGCCAAAAACTAGTGATCCATTGAAAACTAGTGTTAGTTGGGGATCTTCAGGTGGATACAATGGCTTTGGTAGTAACGTTAATGCCAATGTTAGTAGTAATAAGAGTTCGAATCTTGGTGTTGGTGGTCCTTCAATGAAGAGTATGGCCGGAGGTGTGAGTGGAAGAGGGGTTAATTCAAATAAGGACCCATTTGGTTCTTTGGTTGATTTTTCATCGAAGCAGTCATCGGGTAGTCTTAATTCAGCAAACAAAGGTAATAAAGTTGCTGATGATTCATTTGGGGGTTTCCAGGATGCTTCAAAACCAAAACCAAGCACGACTACATTTCAATCTAGTGGTTTTACTTCGAATAGTAATGATTTTATGGGATCAAATACAAGTTCTGATTTCAATATGGGTGACTTTGGGATGCCTGCTAAGAATGTTGGATCCCAAAATCAGACATCTGTCAATAGCTCAGGTGGTGACCCTCTTGATATGTTCTTTTCATCATCTTCAGCATCAGCTGGAAGCACCATAACAGCATCTGGCGGAGGTGGAGAACAACAATTTTCCGGAGTGGATGATTGGGGATTTGAGCCTGATTTTGGTGGAGCAGGAGGACATGATGAGGGTGGTTCAACCACTGAGCTTGAAGGGCTTCCTCCTCCCCCTGCTGGGGTCTCTGCCGCTGCTGCAAAGAGCAAGGGTATCGATAACCAAAAGCAGGGCCAATATGCCGATGCCATTAAGTGGCTTTCATGGGCTGTAATTCTTCTTGAAAAATCAGGCGATAAGGCTGGCACCATGGAAGTTTTGTCATGCAGGGCTTCTTGTTATAAAGAGGTTGGGGAGTATAAGAAGGCTGTTGTTGACTGTTCGAAGGTATGAGGTTACTCTTTGTTTTGCTTAATAGTTTCTCATAATTCTTTGTTAATATGAATATCTACCGTAATTATTCTCATGTGCTTAATTTATAAATGAAAATGTTCAGATTAGTTGAGTTTTGGCCCTTTTTAATGTTGACCTATTTTTATGGAATCATTTATGTACTTTTGACTTCCCTAATTTCCTGAGCATGTAGTGTGCTTGTTTTAAAGCTGAATGGAGTTTACTCTTTGCTGTGTTTCAATTTCATTAATATTTTTATCCAGTGTGAGTATTTAACCTTTACCAATTTGGAACCAACAGACAGTTTTAACTTGATGTGGTTCCACTAATTTAGTCTAGATGACATCACAGGTCATATACATTTGTAACCATCGAGGGTTCTAGGTATTTGTTTCTTTAAAGGAGTGTTAATGTGCATCTTACTATGCAGGTACTAGAGCATGATGATGCAAATGTGTCTGTCCTCGTACAGCGAGCACTCTTGTATGAAAGCATGGAAAAGTACAAACTTGGTGCTGAAGACCTGAGAACTGTCCTGAAGATTGACCCTGGTAACAGGATAGCAAGAAGTACCATTCACCGCTTGAATAAAATGGCAGGCTAGAAGGTTCTGAGACTCTTCCTTTCATTTGCGTTAGCTTCTTCATTCAGATTGATACCTTCTCCCCTTTTACTATCAAGAGAGTATGGGGAATAATAAACTCTTTGATTAAATACGGGGTTTTCAATTTCAATTGAGATGTGGGATTGCAGAGGCTTTTTATGTATGATGTGTTAAATTTTACTTCTCTTGATTGTAACGTGATATATGATTCTTGTTGTATGCCTTAAAACGTTTTTGGTGTTTCTGACATCCAATTTTACTGTTATAGGTTTCTGAAATCCAATTTTACTGTTATAGGTTTTCTGAAATCCAATTCTACCATTATTGGTTTCTGAAATCCAATTCTACCATTATTGGTTTCTGAAATCCAATTCTACCATTATTGGTTGCTCTAATGTTTAGTCAGAACAATAATTTCTGGTTTATTGCTCTTAGTCTTTACATATTTATTGCGCTTTGATGGGCTCACCATGTTCTCGGAATTATGAGTCAATGTAGACAAGTTTGTTTTCTTCCTTGTTGCCTTTTAGGTTTTTTTTTTTTTTTCTTATTCTTATTATTAAATACATGCATCATCAATTGTATGTGAAGGAATAACCCTTATTGTGTGCCTAAGATTTTCTTGAGACAGCAAAGGTGAAAGTCTCAGACTTAAAGATGTTAGAATGTTTCTTATTGAGTTTTGTTTGTGCTTTTGCAGAACTTGATCTCAAGGTTTTGAAATTTTCCTATCCTAAACACCTTTGTGTTGTTTATGATGAATGATAACCTCTGTTGCTATTCCATCTGTGTTTTTTTTCAGAGTTAAATGCCAACTAAAACGCAAAATGCATAAAGTGAATCCTATTATCTTCATTCCTAATGGACATCTTTAGCATGTGTATCATCTATATTAAATGAAGAACTGGATTTCAAGGATATTTGGGTTGTCATGATTTCCTATAATTTGTATCATCTTTAAGTTTTGTTTTTGGAAAGGCAATCTGTATCATCTCTAGTTGTTGTTCGTGAAATGGAATGATGTAATAGTATCTTCTTGCCCAGATACTTCTGGAATAGAAAAGCAAGGTAAAACACAAGAAGTATATAAAACCCTCTTGAATATGAAAAGGCAATTAGTTCACTGCTTTATTTTGTGGTCCTCAATTAACCCTGTTTTATATCCTGCTTTAAATTTTAGATTAGATCTGTTGCTAAGCAATTGTTTGTATGTATTGTATGTTGAGTCAAATGCTCAAGTTTTGAGGCCAGCAGGTAGCAGCCAAGAAAAGTTAATTCTCTTCTATAGGTCGATATGAGATGTGCCTTTAATATTATCCAAGTGTTAGCTTGGGAACAACTTGACTTATTTCATTCTCTTATGATGGTATCAGTATGTAAAAACATTGCTGCGAATTCTATCTTTTTCCTTGGCTCCTTCCAATTTTACATTAAGCTTCATTGTTCAGCAATCTAAATGAGTGCCTTGGTGTTAGACTGATTTTTCGCATTTTTTGGCCGACCAAACAATTACAATGTACTATCGAGACGACAAAACCAAATCTGTGGATGAGACATAAATCAATACTTTATGATTTCGAGGTAGGGCCATGGATCCAAATGTGGAATTCAATCAGTGGCATTTCAAAAGTTTCGATACCCATACAATGTCAGGAAAAAGAGTGGGAACATTATGATAGAGATGGAGAATCAAGATGAGCTTTATATTGCTTCGAAGATCGGTAAAGAGAAATGAGTTCACATTTTTTGTAGTGGCGGCGCAAAAACTAATTATTAATTGTATCTCAAATACAATGATTTGTTAGTATAAATAAAAATAATTTAATTTTTTAAAATAAAATTTGAAACTTAAAACTGAATTTTTAATTAATTAAAATTTAATGTAATTTTGAATAGAGGGTTTTCTGAAAAAAAAAAAAAAAGTATCTCACACTATATAACACTGTTTTAAAAAAATAAATAAAGAAATTTTACAAAATCCAATCAAATATGGATAAAATTAGATTCTAAAAAGCCCATAAAATGAAAAAGTTAGATGTTTAAATATTTATAATGACAAACCATAAAAATTTTTTGAAATTAAATTCAATATTTACTATCCAAAAAAAAAAAAAAAAAAACAATTCCAAGCTGCACTTCCATGAGCAGAAGAAAGTTTAATTTGACAACATTGATTTATAATTATAGTTGTTTTTTTTTATCTTTTAATATCTTAAAAATATGTAAAATATATTTTATATATTTAATATTTATTTTAATTAATATTTTATATATTTTTAAAATAATAAAAAAATATAAAAACAAAAAGATAAAATATTAAAAAATATTATCAAACGAAGCCGAAGATGCAACGCGGCATTTAAGATTGAATTTGTTTCGCATGTGCTCCATTACATTTAATTTTTATAGAAAACCGTAAAAATTGATTTTATTTTTATCGTTAATACTATATCTATGCTTTTAATTGAAAATTTAATAAAATTAAAATTATTTAAAAAAATTTTTAATATAAATTAATTAAAAAATAATGTTTATCTACTTTACCTTTTAAAAATTAAAAAAATATTATTTTAAAATTACGTCATTTTAATAAATACATATTGAAAAAAATTAAAATATTATATTTTTAATTCATGAATTATAGTGTTTATTTTTTTTTTCTTAATTTTTTAAAAATAAAATAAAGAGGCATTAACCCTAATTAATTATAAAAAAATATAAAAAATATATCTTTAACCGGCATAAGGCTACGCTATAGACCCTTTGGATTCTACCAGACTCTTTCAAACTCCATCATCATTTTTGCATTTTAAAGAGCAAATTTCCATTTATCCAAAAACCTTTCTTCTGGGGTGGGGACTTGTTATAATTATGATTCTATCAATAACCCAAATTCAGACATTTATGTACCCTCTTTAATGCCAATGACAAAAGCCAGAAACAGGTCAAGTAAATGACGAGAAATGAGGTGGAGACCACCATAATAACGCAAGAAAGAGAAGGGTTTTTGATTTGTTCGAAAGGGAAGAGGTCAAATAAGACGATGAGGAGTTGGGAAGCAGAATGGAAAGTGTTACCTTTGCCATCTGGGGCTGGCTGTACGTGTTCCTAAAAGCCTTGCTGCATTTTTGGCCCCTTTTTCTGCTGATGTTGTATAACCATTCTTTCAAGAATACCAAAAAAAATATCTAACCCCATTTCAAGCTGTCTTTCCTATATTCCTTATCTTCATCCACTAGGGCCATTTTAATGTCAGGATATGCATTGTGTTGTGTTTCATCATGATAAATGGATTTTATTTTTTTTTGTATGTATTGATCTCTTAATTGGGGATCTCAATCTTTTTAATTTTTTTATTCAAGAGCTTAAATTTACCAATTTTACTAGACAAGAGCTTATTGAAAGAAATGTTGATGTGAATTTTTTAATTTTGTTGAAGTGGTCAATATTAGGAGCTAAATGGCCTTTTTTCGACTGCTTCATGAAAATGAATTACGAGAAATCTCGTTACTTGTGAGCGCTTTTTAACCCTTTTTATATATGATTTAGACAGTCAAAGTGTTTTTTTTTTTTTTTTTTTAATTTTTACGTGTTTCGATATTAATTTACTAATATGTGATTTTAAGGTTGCATTCCTCGCACCGGTTTGCTAAGTTATAGTTATGTTACTATTATATCGGTTAAAGTTATAAAAAATTATTAAATTTTTATTTTATTTTAATTATTAAAAATAATTTATAATTGATAAAATAATTAATATTTATTATTAATAAATTAAAATTAGTTTATAAATAAATATTTTCAAACATCATAATAAATTGTTTAAAAAAATTATAAATTAACAAAATTATAGTTAAATTGATGGCCTTAACAAATTAAATAGTAACAATAACTTCAATTGATTTGGTTCATTCAAGTAAAGACATTAGTTATATAACATGGTGCCACTAAAATTTTAGTTTTTTTTTTTTAATAGTATTTAAAAATATCAATTTGTTAATTGATTTTAATTTGTTAACTAATAAAAATTAATTATTTTATCAATTATTATTTAATAGTTACAATTATTAGCTATTTTTATTAATCAAACTAAACAAAAATCAATATTTTTAAAGGAATAGGGATCCACTCACATATTATATTTACATAAAATTTTAATCATCTATCTTTTTATTTTCAATAGTTGAGATTTGTTCACATTTATTAAAAATAATTCTTTTATCTAACAATTATGATAAATTTTAACTACTAAAAATAAAAGAATAAATAACTGTTATTATATAGGAATATTATATATAAAATTTATATATAAATAGAGAGGTTAGTTCACATTAATCCTGATTTACAAAAAAATTAAAGTTTTAATCTATATTTAAAAATCAAAATCTCAATTTGATATTTAGAAATTTATCACATTGAATATTGATATTTAAATTTAGAAACCAATTGTACATTAAAATATAATTAATTTTTAAATTTAAATATTAACATTTAAGAAGATGAATTTTAAATTTTAAATTAAATTTTAAATAAATAAAACAACTAATTTAAGATTAAAATTTTATTTTATTTTAAAAATCAAAACTGATATATATATTTTTTATAAATAAATTTTTTTCATTTAAAAAATAATATTTTACAAGGCCATGCCTGTGTCTAATTGCGCAGGTTTGGAAAACAAAACCTGAAGTAGAAAATGGACATTTGAAGAGAAATGGCAAGATCGTAATAAACAAGGAAATGCAGGGTCGTTTCATGACAGCGGAACTTCACAATTACATTGCCTTTTCTTCTTATCCGCGGCCGTTTTCGC